GCCGCGAGGCCGGGGGAGGGCGCCCTCCTCGGGACACCTCCCGGGTCCCCTGCGGGGAGCCCCCCTCCCTTCTCCGACCCCCTCCAGAGGCCGGGCTGAAAGTTTGGCTCCGGGGGAGGAGGCGCGGGCAGCGGGTCGCTGGGGTCCTGATCCTTGACCCGGACACCTGGGGAAGCCAGGTGCAGGGGCAGCGTGGAAACGTGGAGATTACTGCGCTGTCTGCCGTCACCAGCAGGGGGTCGAAGGGAGCCTGGTGAACTGTCCTCTCCTTCCCTCTCACGTCCCCCTGCTGCCCCGACCCCTGGCCCCTCCGGCTCGGGCACGCCCCTTCCTCCCTTCTCCAGCCTCGGTCTGACCCGGAATTCCTCGAGTCTGCGGGGGGGCTGGAGGCTCGGGAGTGGGCCAGTTTGCCTACAAATCCTGCAGAAGTGTTGCCCCGGCTTTCCTGGGGTCTTTGTCTCCTTGCGCCCCTGCTCCGCCGCCCACGCTGCCCCAGTCTCTCCGGGGCTCCTTTGGCTGGGAAGGGCCTCCACCTCTGGCCTCTCACAGTTCTCGCCGTTGCTGAAACTGATTCCCCTGCCTCGGCCAGGCCTGCGGGATGTTAGTACTGCAGTACTTGGAGACAGTATAGAGCCAGCCCTGTTAGAGCTTTCCGAGTGTGTGTGGGGGTCCCAGGGGATCCTCGGGTTTGAGCTTGGGCTTGAGGTCTTGGAAGTGTGTGTTTGGAAAGAGAGGGAAAACAGACGTCAGGATCTGGCCCAGTGTCGCCTCCTGGTTAGGTTCAAGTTGAAGTCTTGGGCGGTGGGCAAGAAGGGGCACGCAGCTGCTCCGGCCTCCCAGAGAGATCTTGGTTGATGGAGCCGTTGCCAAGGGAACGGATAGAGCCTGAACAGGAAGAGGTTGCATCTTTGTGCAGGTCAGCTCAGCCCGGAGGGGGTGGCAGCTGAGCTGCCTTTGTTGCCGGAAGACGAAGGTTCTAATTTACCCAGGGAGGACCAGGGACACACAAAAGGATGGTGTGTGCCCCGCTGGTTTCAAGGAGCGATGTCAGGATGGGCTGGGTATGTGTGGTGTGTGTGTGTGTGTGCACGCGTGCGCGTGCATGTGCGCCTGTGTTGGCTTTGAGTGTGAGATGGAGGGGGTGTGTCTGGCAATTTGTTGCTCTGTGTGTATGTTTTGGGGTTTTGTCTTTGATCTTAGAGAGATGGAAAAGCAAGGGTAGGGTAGATAATGCAAGCCCAGGTTCAGGAAGCCAAGGCCTTTTTCCACAGATTTTTTGTTGTTGTTGTTGTTTTATTTTGTTTTGTTTTTGGTGGGGACACAGACAAGGAAGCAGAGCCCTGTGCCAGTGTCAGTGATCAGAGAAAAGCCTAGCATGGTCATCCCATAAGTCTGGTAGGCTGAGGCAGGAGAATCAAGTTTGAACAGAGCCTGGGCAACTTAGTGATTTAGTGAGAATCTGTAACAAGATAAAAAATAAAAAGGAGGTTGGGGATGTAGCTCAATGGGAAGGCCTTGGATTCAGTTCCCAGTACTGAACAATAAAAAAAGATCAGAGAAAACAGAATTGAGAATTAGTGTCCCAGGGCCTGGAACAGTAAAATCCCTGGGGTTTACACTGTCGGGTCCTGGAAGCCGGGAGAGATTCAGAGCGGGGCCTGAGCTGCAACGCTGTCCCCCTCCCTCCTTCAAGGCCAAGTGGGTGCGGAGGGACCTGTTGTGACCAGACTGGGGGACCCCCTTCCCGGAAGGTCCCGTGCGGTCTTCCTGCATGCCAGGTAACCACCCACAGCCCGCCCGAGCAGGAGGCAGGCAGTCTTTTCCAGGACCACACTGCCGCGCTGCGTGGAGTGAGGCAGGTCACGTTTTCTAAGATCAGTCCCACCTCTGCTCTCCACCTTGAGTGACCTGGAGACTTTTTCACAGTTGAGTCGGGGAGAGGCAGGGTGAGCCTGCAGCGGTTGGCCTCTGGGCATCCAGGGGATGGCGGGTGGGGGGACACTGACAGCAGGGGCCTCCTTGGGGACTGCGGCTGTGAGGAAGTGGGAGGTGTGGGAGCTCTGTTGGGTCAACTTGGAGGAGTGACGGGTCCCGGGCCCCGCTGGGCAGAGGCCTTGCCAGTGCCGAGAGAGAACTCGTCTCGGGCTCTGGCTTGAAGTCCTGCAGTCCCAACTGGCCTCTTAATCCTGAGTGTGCGGGGTGCCCCATGCCTTGAACCCCAGCGCTCTTGGAGCCCGAGGCAGGAGGATAGAAAGTTCAAACACAACTTGGGCAACTTAGCAGACCCTGTCCCCAAAACAAAAAGAAATATTTTTTTAAAGGGCCGAGGATGTACTTCAGTGTAACCTGGGTTCAACCCCTCAGTATTCCTCCCCACAAAAAGCACCCCCGCACTTCCCTGGGATCACTTCCACATGGGCTCAGTCCCCGTTTTCATGTTCTGGTTTTGGGAGCTGTTTCTTTCCTCTTTTCCCCCCAGGTCCTTCCCTGCCCCCTTGTTGTGTCCCCTGCAGTGACAGCAGTGGGACATCACTCCCCTTCTCTAGCCTTCTGCACAGCCACCGTGACCCTGGGGAGGACCTGGGTTTTGGAGGGGGGGCACACTCTGGGGAAGGGCACCTGCTGGCAGGCGCTGGGTAACCATGGCAACCAGGTGTGAAGCCAATCAGTGCTTCCCACCCCCACCCCAGGGGTGGCCTTTGGAGGTCTCCGGGGATGGGAGGGGAACAGGAGGAGCACCGCTGCTCTTTCCTCATGTGGCCCTGGACCCCGATCTGGATTCTCGAGGGAAGGAGAGGGTTCTCAGGGTGCAGCCCTTTGCGGCCGGGGCACCTGTGTGTCCCTAAGAGTGATAACTTCTGCAGACACACGAGTGTGTGAATGAGGTGGCCAGAGAGGCGGGGAGCCTCGTGTGCTTGTGTGCAGGCGTGTTCATGTGTGTGTATGGGCAAGGAAGGTGTACAAGGCTTGCTCTTGCAGCCTGGCCCCCACCGGATGTCTTTCTGGCCGTACACGTGTGTCCTGTGTCCTGTGGTCAGGTCTGAACCTGCGGGACACGTGGGCACACTGAGTGTCTGCACCGCTCCCGACAGCACATGCGCGTGTGAGTCTGTCCCTTCCCTCCTCTGGATGGTTGTAATAATATTTGGGCAACTCGCCAGGGACAGGGTTGCTATGGAAACGGCCAAACAGTGGAGTAGCCAGCGGCCTCCTGCGTAATTGTGAGGGGGACCCATGCAGGGAGAGTAGCCCAGGCTGTCCATGCGGGTGAGGAACTCCCTCGCCTTGCTCCAGCCGGGTCTGCAGGCCTCTGGGCTGGCAGGACCCTCTCTGTCGCCATGCACGTGGGTCTCTGCCCCGCGTGTTTCTTTGTGTCTCCTCACACCCATCTCTGGCCAGGTGCCCCTGGCCTCTGTCGCTGTTTGGGGCCTGGCCAGACCCATCCCGGGGTCTCTATAGAAACTGATGATCCTGGCTGCGAATTTCATGTTCCTGAAAACTCAGTGTTGTGGCTTTAGAAATCTTTCTGGAGAAGAGAGTAGGGTGTGAGTGAGTTGTAAAGGAACTGCCAGGGCTTGGCCACCCTCCCCGGGAGCCACCCCTGGGCTTCTAGGCTGGGAGAGAGGGATGGCAGCCTGGCCTGTCTGGGCGTGGGCTGGATCTGTACAGGAGGAGGCACCGTGGCACACCCAGGGCACCCCGGGCTGACCTGCCTGCCCTGCCAGCCTGGCCAAGTGCGTGGGCAAGTGTTGGCAGGCAGCTGGGAGAGCCCAGGGGCAGGCCGTAGCGGTGTCCCCGGGGTGAGATGGCGACCGTGCCCACATGCAGAGCTCCTGTGTGCACGGTCAAGCGCAGGAGGCTTCTGTGCCTAGGGCACCGGCGGTCATTTGCCCGGATCCCGTGACTGCTGAGGCGGCACTAGAGTAGAGTGACCCCGGCCGGGGCATGGACCCGGCATCCTCCATGGCCCACCTGAGTGCCAGGCCTGACAGCCAACGGTCAGCGCCTGGTGACTTTCAGGGAGCCCCTTGTACCCGGCCCCATTGGATGTTGTGTGACCTAGGCATGGGCCGGGGTCACCACCAAACCTGGGGCAGCCTGGCCATGGCCTGAGGGAGCGGGAAGGAGACTTATCTCCCCTTTGATGCTTGGGATGAAGGCAGCGGCTTCCCAACCCTGTTTCCTTCTAGCTCCTGGTAGTCCATAAACCTCAGGATAAACCACTTGATATGGACTGAGATGGGAGAGTTAATAAAACTCTACCCAGGGCCTGGCTGGGTTGCTTAGCTCACGCAAAGCCCTGGGTTCAATCCCCAGCACCACAAAAGATAAAAATAGAAACTCTTCTCTAATTTCAAACCTGCCTCCCACATCCGTTGGAGAGTGGGGTAGTATTTCTTATAGTCAGACTTCAGTCTTTCCTTCTGTTTCTGCATGACTCTGTTGCTCAAATGTTTGGGTGTTTGGTGTGTGTGTGTGTGTGTGTGTGTTGAGACAGGCTCTAGCTATGTAGTTCAGGCTAGCCTTGAACTCATGGGGATCCTCCCGCCTCAGCCTCCTGAGTGCCAGGACTACAGGTGTGCACCACCACACCTGGCTTTTGGTTGTTCAAGCATCACCTGAATCCTTGGGCTTCAGCAACCAGTGAAGGCTCAGGGCCCCATGCAGGCCCCTGGTCCCTGCAGGCAGAAAACGGTTGGACTCAGGTGCAGGTAGAAGAGAGGCTTCCAGGTCTCAGCTTCTCCTTTCGTTCTGTTTCCCAGGGCGACACTCCCAGCCCCCACCCTACCCCAGCATCATGCATCGGACCACACGGATCAAAATTACGGAGCTGAACCCTCACCTCATGTGTGCCCTCTGCGGGGGCTACTTCATCGATGCCACCACGATTGTGGAGTGTCTGCACTCCTGTGAGCTGCAGGGGTGGGGAGGGTGGGAGGTGGGGCCCCGCCCAGGAAGTTGGGACACAGCCCCCACCCCTAGGTCACAGAGCGGCTACCTGGGGAGCAGTTTGTGGGGGTGTCTCCAAACCGGAGTTCATCTTGGGGACTCACGTTTAGAAATTCTTTTTTGATTTTTGGGTTGTGTGTGTGTGTTTTGAAACAGGGTCTCACTATGTAACCTAGGCTGGCCTGAAACTTGAGGCCATCGTCCTGCCTCAGCCTCTTGATTGCTGCGGTTACAGGTGTGCCCCATCACGCCTGGATAGCCTCTAGAAATCTCAGTTGTCTCTTGAATCTCTGAGGCTGAAATTCCCCGCCCCCAGCCAGATGCTCCTTGTTGTTTCTGTGGGCTTGTTTGCAAGAGGTCGAGGACTCTGGGAATGTCTTAACGGGGCCTCAGGCTTGGGGCTGTGTGTGTTTCCTACACATCCAAGACCCGTCCTGCCCCGGGACCAGACGGGAAGTAGGAAAGTGTGCAGCCCCTGTTGCCACGAGGGCCTCTGGACAGGGCTGTGGGACAGGGAGGCCAGGCAGGTAGGCAGCGCCTGAACTGCAGCCAGGGCTGTAGGGAGGGGCCCTTACGTCCTCGCCCTGTCACTGCCCGCAGTCTGCAGGACCTGCATCGTGCGTTACCTGGAGACCAACAAGTACTGCCCAATGTGTGACGTGCAGGTCCACAAGACCCGGCCACTGCTGAGCATCAGGTGGGCCCTCCTGCCTCTGTCCCTGCAGCTGGGGCAGCAGGTTGGCAGCAGACGGGCACAGGCCCAGGGGACGTGATAGAGGGGTGATGGCCACACTGCGAGGCAGCTGACAGCGGCCGTGCGTCTTTCCCCAGGTCTGACAAAACCCTCCAGGACATCGTGTACAAGCTGGTGCCCGGGCTTTTTAAAGGTATCGCGACCCCCCGCCCTCGCCCCTCTGCCCAGCCGAGGCCCCCCTCACCCTGCTCCCCTCCTCCCAGATGAGATGAAGCGGCGGCGTGACTTCTACGCGGCGTACCCGCTGACGGAGGGTGAGTGGCGCTGCCCCACACCCACCCCCAGCTCGCGGCCACCACCCTTGGCCTCCCTGTGCCCAGCCAACCCGAGCTCTCTCCCGCAGTCCCCAATGGCTCCAACGAGGACCGCGGCGAGGTCCTGGAGCAGGACAAGGGCGCCCTGAGCGACGACGAGATCGTCAGCCTTTCCATCGAGTTCTACGAGGGCGGCAGGCGAGTCCGGCCGGGCAGGCTCCCCCTTCTGCCCGCGGCCGTGCCCTGGGGCCCCGGGAAGTGTGCGCTGGGGTCTTGCTAGCTTCCTCCTCCTCCTGCAGGGACCGGGAGGAGAAGAAGGGGCCCCTGGAGAACGGGGATGGGGACAAGGAGAAGGTGAGTGTGGGGCTGCCTGGAGAGGCCGCGGCCGGAGGGCGTGGCCTGGCCCGCCTCACTGGTGCCTCCCCAGCAGACCGGGGTGCGCTTCCTGCGGTGCCCAGCTGCCATGACTGTCATGCACCTCGCCAAGTTCCTCCGCAACAAGATGGACGTGCCCAGCAAGTACAAGGTGAGGGCGGCCTTCTCCAAGCAGGAGGCTGAGGCAGGAGGACCTCTGGGAGTTCCAGGCCAGCCTGGTCTATGTCTCAAGACCACATCTCAGAAACAAACAAATGAGGGCCTTGCCCAGGGCCTGCTGAGCCTGGGATTCTGGGGTCCTAAGCTGGCAGACACGGCTGAGGCTGTGGACGGGGCTGCGCTGCTGACCATGGGTTCTCTGCCCCTGGACAGCCCTGCTGTACTGCTAGGTGGAGCTGGAGCCCAGAGATTCTCCTGACCTTGGGGACCTTTCCAGGAGGCCTCCGGACTGAAGGGGGCCAGGCAGTGTGGGATGGGGCCAGGTTGTTAATGCAGGAGCCGTTTTGAGGGCTCCTCCCGCCTGGCGGCCAGGTGCTGTGCTGCTCCAGCTGTGACAGGGATGTGAGGTCTCGGGTGAAGGTGCCACCCCCGCAGCCAGAGCCCTGCCACTGACAGGCCCCTCGGCCCCCAGGTGGAGGTGCTGTATGACGACGAGCCCCTGAAGGAGTACTACACGCTCATGGACATCGCCTACATCTACCCCTGGCGGCGGGTGAGCGGCGGGGTGGGGCGGCGGGAAGGAGTCCCCCTCCCCAGCTCCATACCCAAATCTCCAGTCAGAGACAGCATGGTGGCACCCGCCTGTAATCCCAGCCCTGGGGAGGCAGAGACAGGAGGATCGCTGTGAGTTTGAGGCCAGCCTGCAGTGTGTCTCAAAGCAACCCCCCTAAAGAAGCAGGGGACCCTGGTGACCGCGGAGGAGGGAATACTTTGTGTCCGCCTCTCTTTTTTTCTCTGCAAGTCTCTGTCCCATGCTCTGCCCCTGGGTCTTCATGTGTGCCTGTCGCTGGCCCAGCCTGCAGTCTGTCCCCTTCCGCTGTCCCTGTGTGGCATTGTGGTGTGGGGCTGGACGGCTGTCCTGACCCCGCTTCTCTGGCCTCTCTCCTTCCTGTCCATGCAGAATGGCCCCCTCCCCCTCAAGTATCGGGTCCAGCCGGCCTGCAAGCGGCTCACGCTGCCCACAGTGCCCACCCCCTCCGAGGGCACTAACACCAGCGGGGCCTCCGAGTGTGAGTCCGTCAGCGACAAGGCCCCCAGCCCTGCCACCCTGCCGGCCACCTCCTCCTCCCTGCCCAGCCCTGCCACCCCCTCTCACGGCTCTCCCAGCTCCCATGGGCCCCCAGCCACCCACCCTACCTCCCCCACACCTCCTGCTGCTGCCAGCAGCGCCACCACCAGTGCCAATGGGGGCACCTCGAACTGCCTGCAGAACGCGTCCTCCACCAGCAGGGGGCGCAAGGTGACTGTCAACGGCGTGCCCGTGCCCCCCTTGACTTGAGGAAGGGACCCCTCCTCCTTGGCAACCCGCTCTCTACTTCACTTTTTCTGGGCCCCTTTTTTCCACCACTTCTCCCTGACTCTTCCCACCTTAGGGGTGGGAGGCGGGTTTTATAAATAATTCTATGGACCAACTAGATTAACAAATTCCACAAGCAACAAACCGTGTGTGTGTGTGTGTGTGTGTGTGTGTGTGTGTGTGTGTGTGTGTGTGGATGCGGTGTTCATTTGAGGGGGGGTCATGTGTAATGTGTTGTTTGTTTTGACTTTTTTGAGACAGTGTCTAGCTATGTAGTCCAGGCTGGCTGTGAACTGTGTAGCCCAGGCTGTTTTTTAACTCGTGGTGATTCTCCTGCCTCAGCCTCCCAGGTGCTGGGATTACAGGTGTATGCCACCACACCCCGCTTTCCTCTGTCCTTTTGGGGGGTGCCTGGAGGTGGACACGAGGGACCTCGCGGGGAGGCTCCAGAAAGCCCTACCCCAGTTCCTAATTCCCAGGGAGACAGCGAGGCAGGGGAGCTGTAGACAGAGCTATCGATCGGGCGCTGCCCCGGCCCCGCATTATTGAATGTGCAGAGAATCGAACAGTGCCTTTCCCGGGGCAGTTTGTGCCCTGGTTCCGAGGAGCAGGTGGGCGGGGGACAAGGCACCTTCTCACCCATTGTTGACTTTGAGCAGATAGCTCTCCCCTCCCTGCCGCCAGGTGAGAGGCCTGGCGGCGGCCCCAGCGCGGGAGCGCCCCCGCGTGGCTGTAGCATTGTGGACCCCTTCACCCCCAGCGCCCCAGCGGGGCAGGGAGCCCTCCCTAGCAAGGCGGGTGGAACAGTGAGCACAGGCCGCAGGCTTTGCCAAAGGCAAACAGCCCTCCCGTCCTCGCCCCAGGGCGGGTCTGGACGGTGACAGCCGTCTGGAAAAGCAAATAGAAGGGAACCGGAAATCGGGCGCTGGGGGGGGCCAGCTCCTCCCAAGTACTGCCCCGCCCACCTTACCTGACTTTCCCAGGTGTGGGGGGCGCTGGACCGTCACAGCCCGTGGGCTTGTCTGTGTTCGTAGCGCCTTGCCTGTCTGAGGACCTGTGACTGTATCCTGGGACGTTTGTATCCGTGGCTTTGTAATAAATGCTGCACTCTCTGGAGCTGTCCTTCTTTGGGGTAGAGGGAGGGGAGGGGCGCTGCGGTCCCTGCAGGACGGCCTCCCCGCCACCCACACAGGCTGGGGGGAGACTGCATGTGCGTCACACCGGTGACCCCAGAGGCACCACTCCACGTGGGCTTGATGGCTGACTTATTTATTTTTAGCTTTTCTTTTGTTTTTCGAGACACAGTCTTGCTATGTGCAGACAGGCTGGCCTCTCAAGTTTGCAGTGATCCACCTGCCTCAGCCTCCCAAGTGCTGGGATGACAGGCACGCTTGGCCCGTGCCATTTTCCCCAGCACGTGCTGGACCAGGTGCCCGCTCCCGGCTGACCGCACTCAGCACTTGACTTCCTCCCCACAAATGGGTGGGCTCCAGGCCTGACGCCAAGACCCCACGGGGCCAGGCAGCGGCCTGTGCCTCAGAGTGCGGTGCCCACTCCTGCCTTCTGTACCGCCTCGCTCCTGTGGGTGCCGTCGCAGTATGGGGGCCTCTGGGTGGCTTTGCAGGTGCAAAGAGCCACCGTGCCGGTCTCCTGGGCCTTGAACTTGAGTGGAGCCAGGCCTGTGCGCTGGAAGAAGTGAGATCCGTCACAGAAGGGCTATGGGAGAGGAACAGGAGTCAGTGGAACTGGCCTGCCCAGGTGGGGAGGTGTCAGGCGGCGAAGCTCTGGGGTGGGGCAGCTTGGGCTACTCAGTCACCTCTCCTCTTAATTCTAGGAGTAGGGTTGTCACAAGGAAATAAAAGTGACCAATGATCCAGGCGTGGTGGCACACACCGTAATCCCAGCACTTGGGAGGCTGAGGCAGGACTGCTGCGATTTCAAGGCTAGCATGAACTACACAGTGAAATCCTGTCTCCAAAAACAAAACAAAAACGTAATTGTTGCACACCTGTGATCCTGGCACTCAGGAGGTTAAGGCAGAAGGATCACAAGTTCCAGGCCAGCCTGGGCCACATGATGAATTCAAGGGCAACTTGAACAACCTAGGGAGGGATACCCTGACTCAAGATAATAAAAATTTGGGGCCGGGGATTTAGCTCAGTGGTGTTGCCACCTGACTTGCAAATGCAAGGTCCCGAGTTCGATTCCCAGTACCAAAAATCAACAAAAAGATAATAAAAATTTAAAAATAATAGTAATAATTATAAGTGGTCATAAATAATAGTAATAATTATAAGTGGTCATTACTTTGCCTAGAGTGGGGGTTTGGTGTTCAGTGTTTACAGCATTAGTCTGGAGGGGACCCAGAAGGTCAGGACAGTTTGTAAGATGGAACAAGACTCAGATCAGAAATGTTTGTATAAACGGGATTTGTTTCTAGTAAGCGAGTCTCCACAGGTCCATGAAATTCATTTCCTTCCCCCATGTTTTGTTTGGAAGCGCTAGGAGCCATTCAGTCTGGCTCTGGGAAGCAGCTGGGCATGGGACAGGGTCACAATCCCCAGCAACACGCCTGCCTGGGGCACTGGTGCCTCTCCTGGAAGAGGTTCAGGCAGAGCTAGGCGGCCGGGCGGAAGTGGGGCCTGGTGGGCCACAAGGGTACAAATACTGTCCGAGAGCCGTTCTGGAGGGCAGGGGCGCTGGTACAGATACCGCCCCACCCAGCATCCTTGGCTGGCTGCCCGGGGTCTGCTTCACCCCAGGAAAGCTGCTGGAAGGCTACGCCAAATCACAGCAAAGTGGGACTGGGGGCCAGGGGATAGAAGGAACAAAGTTCTAAACTCCACTGTCAGGAAGGAAGGGAGGAAGGAGAGAGAGAAAGGGCTGGGCAGGGCTCACGCTGGGGTGAAAGGCTCCCGGGTGTGCCAGGCAGCGGTGGCAGGCTGAGAAGGCAAAGTCAGGTCTGTGGTGAACGGGCAGGTTGATCTGGGAGACAGGGCCCAGCTGCTTCCTGGAAGGAGAGGGAGACCCTCCGCTTTCTCACCTGCTTCTTGCTGCGGCCGCACACACACCACCTGTAGGTCTTCCCTGCCACCAGCTCCACCTTGATGGGCGTTTTCTGGGCCACCACAGGCTTGGCTGGCGTTTTGGGGAACCATCGGGCCTGTGGCCAGGAAGAGCGCGGGGCTCAGGGTCCGCCTGCACCCTTGTCCGGGCTCCCACTTGCCCAGGCGCCCCCCGCAAGGCCACCCCCCAGGACATGCTAGGCAGCCTGGACTTCGGGAAGCCGGGATTTGAGGCCAGGCGAGCCTCGGGTTTCAGAGTCCAGGCCCAGCCCGGCCGGTGCTAGGGGGCAAGGCCACCACACCCTGGCTGGCTCTCTGCGCAGGGCCCCAGTCCGCCCCGCGTCCCGGTGACCTCGACCAGCGCCTCAGGCTGGGACAGGGTTGCCCGGCTCTGGTTCCATTCCTGAGGTCTCCGGACCTGGGGGACGCGAGCGGGGAGCAGGGATGCCGGGGCTACTCACCAGCCAGGAGGAGATGTCCCGCCGCTGGCCAAGCAGCTGCGACGCCGGCAGGCAGTAGTGGTTTGGCAACAGAAAAAGTGACTCGGGGGAGAAGGGAAGACGCAGGAAGGCCATCTGGGAGGGTCGAGACGACAGGCTGGCGGGGCGCGGGGGAAACAGGAGGGTAAGAGTAAGGGCTCCGAGCAGGACGCTTCCGGGCAGGCCCGGGCACACAGTGGGCGCTGGGCTCGGGAAAAGGCTGCAAATGGACGCGCTAGGCCGAGGAGGCTGCAGAGCTCGGCTGCTCGGACACGCGAGGGACGCGGGACG